GTTCTCTCTCTCATCACTATATAAATATATATATATTTGTTATACATGCACATATATATATATATATATATATATATATATATATATATGAGAAAAATTTGTTGTATTAACCTCTAATATGCTTTAGGTACCGATTTCCTTCTCCCCACTCTCGCCAACGTTTACGTTTCTTCTCCGCTGTGCTCGAATAATCGTTCGAAACTAACCGTCTTTTAGTTTTCGTCACCCCCTCTGTCTTTGATACAGGATTCATAGCTTGTACGTGATGCATTTTGTTATTATTGAGTGCCGTATTTACTCCCGCTAAGTTAAGAAGCGCATCCGCTATTTTTCTTTGCTCATCGAAATCAGCAGACACCTCCTCGGTAGAGTACTTGCTACAACAATACCAATTCGTTAATGTATGCTTACAAAAAAAATAACGAGAATACACATTTAATAACATATGTTTCTCATACTTTTCCAATTTAATTGATGTGATACAACTATAAGTGTGATCTTCGCTAGAACTTCTTGTTATTACAGGAACTAACTTTTCAGTTTCCAATATTTTTTTCTTGCGATCTGTAAGTCAATGATTACAGTTTAAAATACAACTTTTAAGCTATTAACACGTTGAGCGCCACGCGTTTTTCTAAAGCAATCCCGTTCAGGCCACGCGCACCGCTTTTTTTTTTTTAGAGTTCTCATGTTACACGCTATCAGCCATTGATGCTTGACGCGGCCTGAACGGAAAGTCCAGTGTCAGCCACCGATGGCTGACGTGGCGCTCAACGTGTTAATATTGTTAAATTTATATATGATATAACCTCTATTGTGATTCAAAATAATTGGCCCATGTTTAAAGGAAAGCATAGCAGCTGCAGCAGCATCCACATCACTATCTACTTCTGTTTCAGGAGTTTCGCTAATATTGCTAGATGCCAGTCTTTTGGAAAGGTATGGGAATAAGACGGGATCTGGAAGACGTGCACTTGCATTCTTCCTTTGAGTTTTTTCTGGTGTAGAAAGATTTTGTGCAGTTGGAGGTGGGAAAGGAGCACGAGATAATGCCTGTATCAAATTTGGACGATATTGAGCATCTACCATCCATAACGAACCCTTACCTAAATTCTGAAAATTAAATATATTTATATATACTCAATGAATTGTAGAACGTTCTAATTAAAACACATGTATGCACGGTTAATTACTTACTGGAGCTTTTTCTACCTTACGAAAACATTTATTTAGACTCAGATTATGACGAACAGAGTTTTTCCAACCAGTTGGTGCATTCCTAAAATATGGAAAATGATCCAATATCCATGCATAAACTTCTTTAACTGGAAGAGCTTTCACAGGGCTGTCTTCTATTGCCATAAAAATTAAACAGGAGAAAGAATATGGTGGTTTACTATTTTTATGTAAGTGAGGATCATAAGGGATATGTGTTGGATGCTTGTTGCGATTTGACACTGGTAAATTGTTGTTACTCAATGATATTTTCGTTTGATCACTAGGAGAAGTTTCATAGTGACCTTTCATGCAATCATTAAACACTTGACCGGACTTCTGACAATTTCTATTCGAGTGCTGATAGTTTTGCTGTCCGTGGCTTTGTGATGTAGAATAAGTCTTTTTACTTCTAATTTCTGCAATTTAAACAACATTAGAAATTAATTATTTTTTAATAAAAATATCTAAAAAAATATACACCTTACCTGAACAGTAACTATCATCCAAACTGGAAACAGAATTAGTATTTTCAGAAAAGTCCGCAATATCGTCGCACACATTGTTATTTAAAAGATTCTCATTTTTTATGTCCTTGCTAGGGTTAGATATTTCTAAGCCCTTGAGTAAATTTTGTTGATGTAACCAGCTAAGGGAAGTTAAATCATCATCCGATTGACTATTCTTTTCTATTGATTTTTCATTGATAGGTAATTCTTCTTGAATATCGTAACTCGAATTGGATTCTACAAACGTATTTGTATTATTACGCTCTTTAGTTGTATAAGTTGCATCTTGAAAATTGAAAATTTGATTGGACCTCAACTCTATTCCACTTTCCATACCTGTGGAATCTGGTCTATCTGGTGGCATATCGCGTCGAGTTCTTCCTTGATCACTGTAAGATAATGACGTTACAACCTTCGTTAATGTATGACAAAAAAGTGATTTATAATAATTACTTTTTTAAAGAAGTTCTGCCAGATTTCACTGTTCAACGGTCTCATTATCCAATGTTAATTTTTTTTAGATTAATGTCTGTCGAAGTGCATTTGCTTGACACATCCCGATTACCTGTAACCTGGGTACGCATCGTCGAGATAATTATGCTCGAAATATCAAATTATATTCTAATTTTCATCTTTCCCTTATGACAATGAAAAGAAGCTTAACATTATAACAATGTGACACTTACGCGTACAAGAATATTACTAAATTAATACTACCAATTAATTAAATGCTTACAATGATATAATACCCACAGAATAAAGTGTCTCCTATTAAATTACATACAAAAATTAATATTACAATAATATTTAACAATCCTTATAATATATAAAAAAAACAAGAGAGTTAATAAATATTACTAATAAAAATAATACACAATCAAATTTGGATTTACTGTATATTGTTTAGAATTGTTAAAATTAATAATCATCAATATTGAAAAGAAAAATAAGTAAATTTGGTATGTATACAAAAGTGTCACATCCTTACAACTTTGATACAACATATTATCTAAACATTTCCATTGTAATCTTTTTTTATAATTGTATTGTTAAAATAAATAACATGAATAAATCACGCCGAGATTGGTATAAATCATATCTTGATATATGTTAGAAAGCAATGAATTATTTTAGTAAAAGCTTCGTTTCATCGCTGGCAACATTGCAATTTATTATATATCGAAAGGGGGGGGGGAGAGGGAGAGAGAAAGAGAGAAAGAGAGAACGTGCGTGAGTAGCAAAATTGAAATTTCCGCGCATACCTAGCCTCGAACCCAAAGTACCTACGACAACGACGACATCGTCATTTGTTTATCCACTAACAAGCGACAAAATGGCGGTGCTATGGAGAACACATTGCACCGTACGATGCGTACGTCGACGAAATCGATGCAGTTCTCCTAACTAATCACGTAACATGCTCACTAAATGGGTATATCATAGATCAATGATTAAATCCCCGTTAAAGTATCATTCGTGTTTACTTGATTTTTTTTTAAAGAAAAAAAAGCACACGCGAAATATTTATCAAATAGAAAAAATGGCGTCTCATTTTAATATATCGATGTAAATGCAATTTTGACCATTGAAAACGACATCATGTAAGAACTATGATACATTTTTATTCGTCGTAACCTCGTCCGACTAGTGACACGCATTAAATGCCATCCGCATTTAAATTCTCACTGCACTTAACATGGATACGTAAGACGTATTTTATGGGAACTATATTTCGCATTCGATTCTCGTATTGAGGACGTTGCGTTTAAAAAAAAACTTCATCTTTTTGTATACCAAATATCACGATTCGAATAAAAATAAAAGAAACAAAAAAACAAAAGATTATTTTTCTATATTGATATCATACCTATAGGTGAAGAATTAAATGGATCGCGGTAGAGTAAAACGTGCAACTGTCTATTCTGTTACTTGTTGAATTCAAATATGGAGTTGATAATGGTTACGAAACTCGAACAAATAAGAACGATCCTTATAATATCGCTAACACACGGTGCCAGCCTTTAATCATTTATTAAGTAAAATGTTAACGAACAGATCGTGACTTTGAATAAATTCAAATTAGAGAGAGCTCAATTTGCGAACTCACATATTACGAAGATATCTTTCTTCTGGCCACCATATTTTGCACATTTTTTTATACACATAATTGTTTTCTAACCCTAAAATTTTTAAATTACGACAATCCCATCTTTGTCAGTAATAATAATTAATTCCATCGTATAACATGTCTTCCTTCTTCTAAAATTTCATGATTTTCTTTTTTGAATAACTAAAAGAATTGTACTATAATCAAGAACGGTATCTTGCATGTGTCACGTTTTTAAATATTAAATTGAGATTTTCAACGTCAATGTTTCGTTTCGTTGTTTAAATATGAAATGTGGGACATAATCTTACAAAATGAAAGTAACACTCACGTATCTTAGTAGACAGACGACAGTCTCGGTTGATTTTCTAAAGACGAGCATCTCAAGCACGCACTACACAACACCCAGCTGATCAAGGCGCCATATTTTGACGTCATCACATGGTTATGCGAACATTGCGCTCTATATTTACGAGAAATAATATCTCGATTGCGATATTTAGCCCGGGAAACTTAATAATAGTAATTTACTAGATATTTTTTATATTTTACTATTTTAATATTATTCATTACTTTATAAGTTTCTTTGTAATTATTTAACTTATTCGAGTGCATCCTAAAAAAATGCACAGTTATTAATCTCAAATTCATTACAATAATCGACATTTTTACTTTTTCTCTATTAATTATAATAATTTTATAAGTTTCTTTTTCATTTATTTATTTAATTCTTTATTTTTGTTCTTTTTTAAATACAAAATATAATACTTCCAATTGTTCTGAAATTTTTAAAAGATTTATAAACTGTAATTAAGTTATTGTGCGCTTAAATTTCAAATAATTCTTCTATGCTCGACGCGCCATCTAATCTAGAACTCATTCTTCCGTTGAACAGAAACGTGGGAAAAGTTCTTTTACATACGTGACAATGGCGGAGGAGTAAGTAATGCTAAAATCTCTAAAAGCATCCAATATAATCGGCATATATTCACTTTATTTTTTATTTAAAATTATTACCAAGATAATGAACGATGATTTATTTATTATTTTTTTATTAAAGTTTACTAATTTCTTACAATTATACAGAGAATAATGCATCGTCAACGTGTAACCTAACTTTCATAAAGCATGAGATATAAAGTATAACATTGGTGTTCAATAAATTTTAATTAAACTTAAGTAGTAAAGTAATTTTTTGTTCCTAAAATTATAATTAATTCTACAAAATATATTTATATCTAAAAAATACTTATTTAATAATTTATTATTACGCTTATACATATATAAAATTATCACGATATGGCGTTTGTTTGTAAAATTAATTTATTCCGATTTTTTATATTTTTCTTATTTACACTAATACAGAAAAAAAGATCCTGTCGAAGCCAAAAAGCTTCCAGCAGTACCAGAATCGGTACTTAAAAAGAGAAAACGTCGTGAAGCGGTAAAAGCTACAAGATTACAAACATCCATTAAGGTTAATATTTACAAGAAATTTCTAAGGAATAACTATTTTATAAAATTCTTTTCGTTTTAGTTCACATCCAATAAGAACTTGTTCTTATTGAAAAAATTTTTAATATATATAATTATAACAATTTATTTTCATTTTAGCAACGTGCAAATCGTTACAAGAAGCGCAAGGTTATCTTCAAGAGAGCTGAAAACTATGTGAAAGAATATAGAACAAAAGAACGAGATGAAATTAGATTGATCAGACAAGCTAAAAATCGAGGAAATTATTACATTCCTGGTGAAGCCAAATTAGCATTTGTTATACGTATTCGTGGGTTAGTACAATTTTGCATATTCTGTTTGTAATGTGCATTACAGGCGAGGATTCTCGATTCACTATATAATTTAATTTTATTTCATTTGTTTTAGTGTTAATCAAGTCGCGCCAAAAGTACGTAAAGTACTTCAACTCTTCCGTTTGAAACAAATCAACAATGGTATCTTCGTAAAACTGAATAAGGCCACCATAAATATGCTTCGTATTGTGGAACCATATATTACTTGGGGATATCCAAATTTGAAGTCCGTTAGAGAATTGATTTACAAACGCGGTTTTGCTAAAATTAACCGCCAACGTATCCCAATTACAAGCAATAGCATCATTGAAAAGAAACTTGGTTAGTATGATTTATATATGGTAACAAATATATATATATATATATTTTGACAAATCCATGGAAGTATGCATCAATAATTGTGCATACTTCCTTCCATGTTGTCAAAAATGAAATAGTATTTTTTAGTACAATTATCGGTATATTTTAAATATTCAGTTTCTAAAAAATACTAACACATTTATAATATATCTAATGTATATATTTTGTATATCAGTTAATATTGAATAAGTTGTTAAGATTTATAAACGATTGTATTGTTTTAATATTTTACAGGTCGCTCAGGAATTATCTGTATGGAAGACCTGATCCATGAAATATTTACAGTAGGGCCCAAATTCAAATACGCAAGCAATTTCTTGTGGCCTTTCAAGGTATGATGATATTTAAATAGTTGACACGATAATTCCTATCATCCACTTTTTTCTTTTTCCTTTTTTATCTTACTTTTATTTGCAGTAATGTATTTTTGAATAGGTCTCTTTTACTACGACATAGGCATGGTTGTAAGACATTTGCTTATGTTTTATTACCTCCTTCTATGTCGAAAAGTAACAGGAGTATAAGCCCATTGAAATTTATACTATATTATATTATTTCAAGACTAACTCCCACAATATTTAAACTTTCTTTATTTTTATATATTCAGATATTTAGATATTTTTATGTCTTTTAATTATGCATATTCACATGTCATTGTTTTTCTAGTTGAATACTCCTAATGGTGGATGGAGAAAGAAGACCAACCACTACGTAGAAGGAGGTGACTTCGGAAATCGCGAAGATAAAATCAATGAGCTTCTCAGGAGAATGGTTTAAGCTTATAATCTTAATAAACAAAACCTTATTATCAATAAACTGAGTATATTTTCTCTCATTTCACAGTATATGTGAAAATTACAAAATACGTTAACTTTTATATCAAATATATTTACAATAAGATAGATAAATTTGATATTAATTAATCTTTTTGCTATTGCATGCTCATGACTAAACTGGGGATTTTTATGCAATAGCATATTTTGTATTAAAGACAAATCATTAAATATGCTATATATTTACGTCATATTTTACATATTTTTCTTCAGTTATCAATTCTCTTTGCAACATTTGATAAATCATTAATTGTAATTCATAATACTTCCACGTGTAAGACTTTTTATCCCTAAATTATTATTTATTATTAATAAATGGATATAAGAGAAATAAATCATACAAGTTTAATAATTAAAAGAAATGCCATTAATAAAAAATCACAGTTAAGACATAAATGATTATTATCTCATATTATTTTTAATTTATTTGATAAATGTAATTAACATTTACAACAGAATAAAGAACAATAGAAAATAATAAAAATAAGAAGCAATTGGATCTCAAGTCTTACAGACATATTGATCTTGTATTTGTTTAGCCAATGTTGTTAAATTCATATTTCTATATTCTAATTAACATTTTTACTTTGATTATTGATCCTTTTTAAGAAAGCTTCTGCATGCGCTTGTATTAACTTATTCACGTCATGTGTCGGTGACATAAATGAAAAATTCAAGAATCTTACTAGTCCATTATGATAACCTGCAGCAAGCCATAAATGACTCCACATATTTGGATTCCAGCATACCTATAGGATATCAAATATTTTAACGATTACTTTGCAAAATTTGAATTTTATTTATAAAAAAAAATCATATGAACACTTACTTTATTCACAGATGTAAAAGGGTATCTTTCAATGGGAACAAGTGTCAACTTATCAGAATATAAAATTTGTTGGTTTATACCCTTCGCTAATTTGTCATATATTTTCTAAAGTCAAGATTACGCGATTAAGATTTTTATACACAAATATAATATATATATTAATTTAATAGAGAATATATATTTACCGCAAAATTATTATGAATTATAAGACCGAAACGTTCTTTACATCCATCATACGTCTCAGGCATGTAATCATAAGGTTTTGATTTGTTTCCTTTATCATTACATTCATTAAGATTCTCCTTTGGTGGTTTTGTTGGTTTTTCAAAATCTACTATTTCAATATAAGAGTTTAACTAAAACAAAAAATATACATATAAAAATTAATATTTTATAAAGAAAACGAATAATATGTGCTTAAAATACATAATACTTACTTGTCTTTTTCTTGGTAATATCTTGTCTAAATCTTTTGTATATAATAACTGATGTGGAAAAATAGAAAGAATTTCTCCAGCGTAAGTACCGTGTGCTATACTATTTGCGTGATCGGATACAGCAATACTCTGAACAGATATTTTCAATAAACATTTGTGTATTATAAAATGAAAATAAGTTGCAAAGCGTATAATGTTCTTACATATGTTGGTGAATTAGTTGGAAGGACAGGGCACAATCTATATCCATGTTCTCTTACAGAAACTAAGTACGAGTTTGTATGTCTATAGCTATAAGGAAAAATGATTTAAATATATTATAAAAAAAAATCTTCTAGTAAATTTCAAATAATTCAAATTGATCAGACAAAAGTATTTATGTTATACCTTAAAGCATCATCAAAACCAATCACAGCACTAGGCCAATGCAGCATCCATGCTCCATCAGTTATAATTCCTTTTTTTATGGTTTCTTGAGGACAACTTATATTTTCTAAATCCCATACCTTATAAGACCTATCTATACTGGCTGAAACTAAGAATCGCTGACCATTGTATGGAATTATTGCCACCACTGTTGAAATTATAAATTTATTATCATTTTTGCTTATATACTTTTATTGTATATACGTTATTAATTTATATTTACTTACTACTAACAGCGTTACCATGAGCAAAAAAATGTGAAAATGTATTCATTACAATTGAATTGTTTTGTTTTTGTTTTAACAATGGTGAGTCCCCTGTGAGATCCCATACTCCAACATAGCCGTTTGAAAAACCAGCAGCGATAATACTACAAAATGTATTTAAAAGTATATATATTTCTCAATAATAATTTAACGAACAAATATTTGTCATAGGAAATGTAAATCGTACTTGTGGCCACGTTCTTTTGTCCACGATATTTCGGTACATTGCCAATTCTGTTTACCATTATCATACATAATACTATTTACAACTAATATCAGTACAGGATCAGTCTTGTAAATTGGTAGACTAAAAAATAAGTCGCATATGTAATACTTGAATAAAATACACATGATAAATTTGTGTAGGACTGGGCACCTCCAGTCCAGATAATGTACGCATTCGTGGAAAAATTGAACGGAGGGCCTTGGAAAGCCCAAATGTTAAAGCACAATCACCCGGAAAACGAAAAACTCGGATTCGAGTCTCGATCCAGTCAACGGCCAAAAGCCCAATTTTTTCACGAATCCTACATTTGTATATCCAATATATCTATGATAAATGTATTGTATTCTTACTTATTAGTTTCAGATTTGCTGAACCTAAGTTCTTCTGGAAATGGTAATGAGTAAATATAGACAGAACCATTCGAACAGGCAGCAGCTAATAAACCCATCCTTCTATATGTTCCTTTTTTATAATTATTTAAAGTGTCATCCTGGTAACATCCAGATGGACACCACTCAAAAGACCAAATTGTACTACTATCATGTACTATTGCATATGAAAGAGTAGGAGTACTAATTTCAGGTTTCAACCTTGACAATTAAGAAAATATATTAACTTTAAAATGATGCTGTAAGAATATACAAATATTATTTAGACATCTAAAACTTACTCGTTATTTAATTTACCCATATTCCATATTTGTATCATATTAGGTCCTGAATGTGCCTTTCCTACAACAAATTCATTCTCCATTTCTGGATGTGTACTTATTGCTATATATTGGTCAGGTGCTTTACGGTACGCATAAACTGGTATAGGTAACCATGCTAAGGCCCATACAGGTCCGCCAGTAAAAAATGCTGGTAAATCTATGGAAAGAAGCAAAAATAATCAAAGTTAAAATTAACTCTAAGTCGAGATTATTTATATCGATTTTTTATTGATTATTTTCACCTTCTGAAATTCCCCCTTCAAATGTTTTCCAATATCTCCATTCTTCTTCCCCGTGTTTCGTATTGGTAGATGAATTTACGGTTACTGTTTTTGTAGCCATTGATACTTTTAATGGTGGTAAATATTGTTTTGCATCTTCATTATTTAATAGTACAAACGGATTGGGAAGATAATCATCGTATAATTGAAATTCATAATTCTCCATCTCGCTGTAAAAATTAATAAATAACTTAGTTGTTTTTCACGTCCAAAAATAAAATTATTAATAAATAATTTCATTTATCAAAAGAAAAAAGAAACAATTCATACTTACAATTCCATTGTCCATTTAAAAGCAGGCGCATAACATTTACTCCAGGATGCTCTTAATGCGTGCGGATCGTCCAAAAACATCATTAAGCTGGCTGATTCTATAAATATGTACATAATATTATATATTTTATATACATTTTTATACTGTTGTATAGTAAATATACATTCTTATTTTTTAATAATTATTTAGCTATTGAAATATATACTTTCTTTCTCCGAAGGTGCAATATGATATTGCTGTTCAAATTTTAAACCTAAATTGTCTTCACTTTCATCATCAGTTGTATCTCCCTGTTTAAAATCAGGTGAATTATCTGCGTTATTTTCTATTTCCGAATGATTATCTTTGACGTGTTCCATAATTATTTCTTTACTTTTAGTTTCAAATTTGCATATTTTACAAATAAATTTCTATCAAAAAGCAATAAAAAGATATATTGTTAATATAATAAAAATATATGTTACATGATGTGAGATATATAAAAAGGATATTAAATTTTGTATATTACCTCTTGAGGTGTAAAATTACATTGAGAAGAATGTTTACACATGTCGTCGTACGAATTACTTGTAAAATCGCATGCTATTTGACGACATTGCGTGATGCCTTTTGATTGTAATTCCTTCTTCCATAAAGATTTCCAAATAGACGGTATTTTCTTTTTAAATTCCGGCATTTGAATGTTTTTCTATAATTGTGTAAATATATCATAACAAGAGTCAAATGCAGTTGTCTTCACTTAAAAATAAAAACCAAATAATCTGGTATAATAAATACCAGCGCAAGCCATTCCATTATTTCATAATATTAAAAACTATTTAAATATGGACATTTATTGCATGATACATTTTCTAATATTTTTTCTTTTCTTCAAAGTTAGATGTAAATTAAGATATACATCTAGTATTGGAGTGGCAGATTCACATGTAGTAAATATCCAATGATCGTTAGTTAAGTTAATATAAAAAATTCAGTAAAATTGACCGAAAAATTATATAATATTTGAAATTAAGAAATATCAAAATTATTTTAAAAGGAATATGAAACTTCATTTTTACGTTATATTATATTACATTTGTAAATAATCTAAAAGAGTACTGGTTTTCTTCTATTACTTATTGTAATTCAGATCGATGTTTCTGATTTACATATTTTTTTAAATGATTTGAATAAAATCAAATTGACGAGTGTCGTTATATAGTAAAAACAAGTTCTGATATCAAAGAAAAATAATGAAGTATAATTTAAATGAATGAAGATTCTGGAGTAGCTGATCCTGGAAGTCGATCTTCTTCATCTTGTATATCTATGATAGCACATTGTATCTTTCTCTTTAATTTTCTGCGCAAGTATTCTGAATTCAAACACCGTATTTCACTTGCTACGTACGATCCAAATGTATCGTATTGATCTTCTGTAGCAGGTAATGTATTATCAATTTTGGAAAATGAATCATCTTCACTTTTTGGCTTTTTCATTTTCATTGGGTGTGGTTCAGTTTCAAAAGATCTATTTTCTTGGCAATTGATACCGGTAAGATTTGATGTACCATTTGTATCATCCAATATATCTTCAGATTTTGTGCTTGTATTTGGTGCTATTTCTTCAGCCTAGAATTATTTAAACATTGATTGAATTGAAGACCCTACTACTCCAGAAAAATACACAATAATAAGCAGAAATTTGAAGACATAGAAAAATGTGCACAATACATAGAGGAATGAAAAATTATCATATGTATCACAATATTTAAACTATATAATAGATATTATAGATGCAGTATAACATTTGTTATTGTGTTATATAATGGATCATAGTGAATATCAATTTATAAATCAAACTGTTTGCACAGAAATGATATCAACCAGTAATGCTGAAAACTGCTATTTAGTAAAGTAAGATTTATAATTTATATAGTAGCGATAGACTGGGCACTTCCCTTAACACATTTGAGTGATCTATAAATATTCCAATAAATACATAATATTATTATTATTATAATCTGTATTATCGAGTAATATTGTATCTAATTTATGTATTTGTAGATAATATATTGGTTCTTTATTCGCAAAATTTCACATGTGATGAAAGAGAAAAGGTGAATAATTTTCTATAATACGTCTTGAGATTTTAAACATACAGTAAAGCCCCAATTATCGGAACCATCGAATATCATAACGTAACTTAAAGCTGCCCTACTAACTAGAAACATATTAATTAAACATATTAACTACAAACGTATTAATTAAATGAACACTAATCACATATCGCAGTAGCAGTTTAATGTGACATTAGCATTTGATTACAGCAGAATTTAAACATGTACCCATTTTATTTCCAGCATTTCATTCCAATATATTCTTGCATAGTAAGTCAAATCTTTTTTGTTTTTTTTTTTGAGAAATGAAAATTTATTAATTTTAATAGAATAACATAGGAGAAAATAATTTCCCTCAGCACAATATATCCATATTTTCATGTAAACCACTTTCATAATCATTGACATATGTGTGTATATATGTCACTATAAATATCTTTTCTTATGTATATTTTTGATTTTTCTTCTTTTAGACATTTCATTCTTTTAGGACATATATACAAATTCCTTTTCTCCATTTTTATTTTGCCATAATAGTATCTATGAGTGAAAAAGATATGTAGCATGCAATAAGTGTCCAGTCTAAAAATAACTTTTCGAAGAAACGATCATTTGCAGAGGTGTTTCTATTTAGTATACTTCTTTCATTAGTACACTTAGTTTACTTAATTCATTTTATAAAATTAACTTTTATATATATATATATATATATATATATATATATATGTGTAGGGTGGTAAAAAGAAGGGTTCGATATTTGAAGGGCTTATAGTACTTACCGAAACGAGTAAAAAAGGTTTAATTAATATAAGTCCTAAGAAATTTATTACGAAAATAAGCAAAAATTGTTACTGATATCAACAAAGACCGAAAAGTAACGTTTTTCTTTTACATTCAATTCAAATACGACATTGAACTACCGCGGGTAGGTAGCTAGCTTCACCCGCGAACTCCTCTCCACCGAACTCCTCTCCATAACACAATGAGCTGATAAATTATAAACAAATATTGATATAGAAATAACATTACTTCCTGGTTGAAATAAATAATAAAAGAACGCTCATAAATAATAATAATTAATTTACATCGAAAGCATTGATTTTAGGACTCATATTAATTAGACACTTTTAATTCACTTCAATGAGTACTATAAGCTCTTCAGATATCGAACACTTTATTTTATTACCCTGTATATTATTAATTTTTAGAAATTGCATCATTTTGTAAATAATTGCAAGCTAATATAGTTGCACATTACACAAAATCATGCTTTATATTTGCTTACCAATACAGAAGAATCTAAATCCATCTTTTTAGATTGTTGTTCTTCTTTCACAAGTTCTGTAAACTGTAATATTTTCGACACTGCTCTAAAAAAAAATAAAAAATTGTTTATCGATTTACATTTTGGAATTATATTTGTCGACTCAATCATACGGAGTGTCCTGCAACTGGTGATACATGCGAGCAGAAGATAATTCTAAATGGAAAACTAAATCGTAAATGTAAAATTAAATTTTTTTCTTATATAAGATTTTGTTTTGAAAATTTATTAAGCACCCTAGTATCTACGCGCTTAAACCCAGTACGTCTCCGCTCGCTTGTACCATTAGTTACAGGAGATTTATACATACTTTTCAGCAGCTTTACGTTTTACTTTTTCATTTTCTACAAGTTCGATTGGAAGATGTTTACGTTTATTATATTTCAAATCTCTATGAAGTCGTTCATGAATTTCCATAGATGATGGCATCATAATAGCATTGCACACGGGACATGTTACCATTAATGCTCTTCTTTCCTAATATTACAAAATTTAATTATAATAAATATCATTTTGAATAATTTTATCAATAGAATGTTTAAATATACAACTTACATCATCCGATTTACCACAAAATTGAATATGTGATATAAATCCATTAACACTACGTTTTATTGCTCCACATTGTTCGCAAGCAAGTTGTCCTTTCCTTTTTTTTATGGCAATAGATAATACCCTTTTCAATAATTTGTTATCATTTTGAAATTCCTATAACAACATTATGTAGAAATTAATATATTTATATCATAAATTTGCTTTAAACAATTATATAAATCTTATTTAAAAATCTTTTATTATATACCATTGATTCTTCTCCCTCATACCAGCCCATGTTGTTATGTTTCATTAAATTATGGGTTTCCCATTGTCCTTTTACTATTTCTATTCCACATCTCATGCACTTACTTATTTGTATCTAAATTTAAACACAAATAATTAATGATATGAAGTAATAATAAGTATTTAATATTGAAATAGCTTTACAAACCTCTTCATTCTTTACTTCATTTAATCTATTATTTTCCTTTGATATTGCAGCTAAGTTAGATACCTGTGTTATTTGTTCAATATTAGGAGTATGAATGGCTTCTTTTCTCTTATTACTATTTTTAACTTCACTTTTAATAATATTTTTATGTTTCGATGGAGGACGTCCTCTTCGCTTAGGTATATTAATATTGTCAGAAATGTCTACTTTAATATTTTTATTGGAAGATTTACTGTTGGATTCAGCTACTGAAGTATTAGAAGAATTTTTTGTACGATATGTTGATGTTTCCGAATTGGAAATCTGTTGCTGTGAAACATAGTTATCACATTCATCTGGAGTTTGAATACACACATACTTCCTAGGTCTTCCTCTTTTTCTTGGTTGCCCAGAAGGTATCATAATAGAATTAGCAGGTTTCAGTTCATTTTTTATTTCTTTCTGCGATACAGAATTTGATTCTGTACTCGCAATGAGTTCTTTATTGCTTATTTTATGTGAATCTATATTGGATTGGTGCGATTCGAGATCATGCTTCATATCACCAGTTCCTTGGTTAGATGCATTGTTTTGATATAAAATTGAAGTATCGCATAATCCTATTTGATCTACAGTAGATTGTACAGTTGAATCACTAATGTCTCTAATTTTGTACGTATTACTTTGGGCAGTTTTATTAGAAGAAATACACATTTCTTCTTCTGATTTAACAAATATATTAACAGGATTTAATAAAATGTTATCATCAGATTTGGTCGATGTTGTTCCTGGCATAATCTTAGGTATCATTGCTAATGATAATTCTTTATTAGACTTTTTCTGTGAATTGCCTTTGACATTCATTGAATCTTATATTTTTAATTGAAAAAAATGTAACATTTATTCTAGTTCTTCCATATATAATAAATATGGAATCACCATCAATGAAAGAGCATTGCAAATTAACAAATAATATCAACTTTTGTAACAACCTAAATATATTTTGATGTGTCTTCAAGACAAACCTAGTTCCTCATATCAAAGCGTGGTAATATGGTATTAAAAACTTCACCAAGCTTTTCTTCTTCGATATTATGTCTATCTATATTCTACACACACAAGCACATACGGGTATATTCATCTATATTCCAACACTTAGGTAGGAGTAAAGAACAGAATATAAGATTTTACGGTGGGTACTAGGAACATCAGGAAGGGTAAAAGGGATACCTTACATTCGCCATTTAAAATGAGACCCGCCAAATTTCAAATTATTTGTCAGATATCAATTCACGATTTTTTCCACATCAAAGAAGAATATCTTGAAAATTACTTTAACCGTCAGAATATTCTTATAATTTTGTATAGTTCATATTCAATATTTTATAATATATATCTGTTGTTTATGGAAATAATACTAAATAATTAAATTCGTCATATATTCTTTCGTTTCCAATCATTTGAGACAAAAATCATTATTTATATCTATGACGTATTTCATATTCATTTTACAAAATTCACTTATGAATTATTATAATCGAATAATGATAATTATTGCTTTTACTTTGGCAGTGTATTTCTTAATTTGAATATAGACAAATTAAATATTAGCAATTTTAATTGGTCAGTGAAATTAATCACGATTGGTCAAAAATGTTCGAAGATAAATCTGATCCCTCTTGCGGAGAATTGGTCTTACTAAATATGAATTGTATTTAAATATAAGTTTAAATGCGTGTTCGTTTCATTCGAATTCAGGATCGCTAAATATGTATTACATTTGTATACTTATCTTTAATATTCTGAATCGAAAATCTCGCAATATAAATTTACGTAAATATAATTGATTAAAAGTTAAGAAAGTTAGTTAAATGTGACTGTAAAACGAGAAGGATCAAATCGACGTAAATAAAAAATACGAGAAAGAAAAAATAAAAGATAGTATGCATAAGAAAAAATGAATAGATAGCAGGAAGTTAGTAGCAAGTGCAGCTGCGGTCCGTCCGTTCCCCGTTCCCCGTGTTCAGATCCAAAATTAGTAAATAAAAGATGGTGGCAACGAGCAAGTTGTGTATCATATTGTCGCTAAGAAAATGTCTACTAAAATGAAGTGGAAACGTAGAGGAATCGTGATTTCCGAAGAAAATTCAAGAGGCGTAGATACCTAGTGAAAACGACTTTTTTTAGCTACTCTAATTATCGTGTAAATAGTGGATTTTTTTTTTAAATTCTACGTACATTTACCAGAGTAAAAGAGGGTAAGTGTAAGAGAGAAAGAGAATAAGAGATAGAAAAGAGATAGAGATAGAGAGAGAGAGAGAGAGAGAGAGAGAGAGAGAGAGAGAGAGAGAGAGAAAAGAAAGAATAAAGTAGTGGGGAGAGAGGAAAGAAAAGGAGAGAGTGAGACACGAAAAGAGGATCGAGGAAGAAGAGTGGAGGCCGAAAAGGGGGATAATCTTGCTCCAGAGTTCACAGTAAGGTACAAATTCTCGCTATTTTTAGAATATGGCCGGACTGTCGATATTCATTCAAAGCTTCTGTCGACATTATTCATTTTAGAGCATCGAATTTCGAGACTTAGGCGAATACGATCGAACTGATTACGATAGTTATATATATATATATATAAAAGGAGAAAGAATAAGAATTGTCGATTATTCTTTATAAGTATTTACGATAGTTAAATAATTTCGGCTAATTGTAAGAAAAATGTAGACTTAAACGTTAACTAAAGTCATATTTCTAATATATCGAAGAAGTAGATAATGTCATTAGGGAAAATGACTTTTCTTAAATGCATGAATCGTGGTTGAATAATCATTAACGTAGTAAAAGATCCCTTTTGAATATCAAGATGCTATTTTTATCTGTGGAAACCTAAATACCGAATAGCACGCTCTCGTAGCCGCGCTAAAGCACCGCATACGTGTGTATATGTATGTACCTACGTATGCATGTCGTGTATGCGTTTGAACACATCTACATGCTGACACACATTTTGCATTTTTCAATTGACAGTTGAGTTGAACTCGTTTAAAAGTAACAATCCTCTTTGATTGCATCTTCAATTCTTATTCGTTAAATTCTATTCTAAGAATGTATATCGTTCAATTGCAATGTTAGAAATGTTAAAAAATGTGTTCCGAAGGAACAGATAAGCAAGTAAGTATAGTTTTGATTTCTTGGGATAATTCAATCATCGTTTCATGTAGGCGTGTTAAGTAAGTAGGTACATAAGTGTCCGTGGTCGTTTTTTCGAGCTCGAATTTCAAAGTATCGCCGGTAATATATTTGAAACCGTATATACTTTGTAGCCTTAATCCTTTCACCGTAATAAACCGATTATTTAAATTTGTTATTTATTATTTTAGACAGCGATATATATCGAAAAGTTAGAAACTTTTTTAAACATCAGAGAAAAAAAAGTAGTAAAGAAGATTGGAATTAATGAAGGCGCGCGCTTTTAAAAAATATCGATTGTCTCGTTCGAGATGAATTTTCTATAGAACGTATTTACTTATTTACTTATTTATTTACACCATCAAACATGATCGTTAAAAAATACGTAGGAAATCGTTCTGAATCGTGCACATCTACCAAGAATAACGAGATACAATAATATCACGTGAATCATACACAGGATACCGTATTAGTACACTGTGTGACGTCATAGTGGAGAACATCATCCTTAACCACGTCACGCACCGCTTCGTCCGACCTTCGTCCGAATATCAAAAGCTTTCCTTTCGCATTCCGCAACCTACGAACAAATGACTACTTTTTTTTAAAACAACCTGCGAGATTGTCGAGACCTTGTAACCTTGTTTTTTTTTTATCATTCATCTTCTTAAGATAATAATAAAAATGCATCTTCGATATTTGCAACCCTTACGTTGTCATTTTATAATCTAAAAATAATCGACTAGATGTTCTCTGCAATTTATATTCGAGCGTGGTTTCAAAAGTAAAATTCGTAAAAACATTTGAAACCACCGAAGCATACTGTTATCGCATTTCATCCATTTCGCTAAATAAAGAAAGACTAATCTTTTTTGAATTCGTATGAAGATATGGGAGTCATTAGGACGTCGGCCCTAAGGCTGGTGTCTCTGCCCACGCGACGGGTCTACGTGCTCTGCTAAAAATATCGAAAGCGCACCGATCAAGTATCGAGAATGATTTCGTACGTGCACGTGTTGGTATACTCTCTATTAGTAATATCGGTGGCAGCGACGACGACGACGACGACAACGACAACAACAACAACAACAACAACAACAACAAAAGTACCATTTTCATATTGAATTTTGTTCTTAAATATATCTTTCTATCGTATATCTATATAGAACTTTGTACTCTTAACTCGAGACGAGTTGAATTTTCCTAGACCGGAGGCACGTTTAAGATTATTGAATGTATTGTTAGACGACAAGTGTACGGTTGAAAAGTCGCGACGATACATTTATGCATTGCATCTTGCTAGCTAGTAGTCACGAACAGTAGAGATAGCAGGGTGGTTAGGGGTAAGGACAGGAAAATGAACTCCGAGCATGAATGCATCGCCTTCTGAAATATGCAGACAGCATTGCGCTATGTATGCCAGTTGCTGAAACTCTTTAGGGAAGGATGACTCTTCCCGATTTTCTTCTAACTCGTTACACGCGTGACACGCGGAAACGCTTGAACGTTTGCGGTGCCCATTTTCCTTTCAACGCTTCAAACGTTCTCAAAGCAAGACATTCAAATTCGTTACGTGTGTTACGTTATACATCATTTGCTCGAGTCAAATGTTTTACTACAATAATTCAATTCAATTCAATTCAATTAGAAAAGTAAAAAGATTTTATCGAAGTATTTTCTAACAAAATTGTTCAATTTAAACTGTTATAACAAAAAAAAACTACGAACTCTAGATGATAAAATTAATAAAATCAATTACTCCTAGTTTCCAAGGCAAATGGCCAATCTTGGAATATTCTAGGTGCGCTTGCCCGTAACTATTTTACGTATATATCAATATAGCAATACTAAAATACATAATAATAACGCAAGTGAATTATAGTACGATAGAGTTGAGTTAAGAGAAACTTAAGTAGGTCGGTAAAGGCTCTCGGACATTGTTAAAATTGCATAAAACAAGACGGTATTCGAGGTCTTTACGTTTTTAGACTGGTTCAATGAATTACGGTGAAGATGTTCAAGTTTCATTTCTTTGTGGTTGTAATGTAACACACTGGGGTAATAGTAACGTAACATTTTTGGCATTGGATATGCGGAAACTAACAATAAAGTTGAAAATATTGTAAGATCTTTTTGGATTTTTATATAATGTATTCTCGTATTTTAATAGAAGAAACTTGCTGTTATTGTTGCTACATATAAACGAATATAATGACGCAATAATTTTTGTGCACGTCTCAATCATTTTAATCTGGTACGAAGTAATACGTTAACAAGACATTTTATTGACTCTATCGCTCTACTCGATGTTGAGTAGTATACGTATAGACACACCTTACTCGAAAAGTTAGCACAGCACAATTGCACTTTTAAAAAGTACCAATCGAACTAAGAAGATTCCATGAATTAAACGATTAGAAGGCAACAAATGGCGTCTTATGTTAGTTAACTTTTGGAAATGACTAATCTTGCAATCATTCGATTGTGCTCGCTTTGCTTGATTTTCTTTATTTCATTTAGCCCGCGTGCCGGGTTGGTTCGTCTTCTCGTGAATCTTTCCTCGATTCTCATTTCTCAAGAGAGGATCTGAGTTAGTCTACCAAAGACAAACACCCAAATATTAAGATATTAATGAATACTTATTTATCCTATCAATATTATATTATTATGATACTCGTATGAAATGAAACGGAGATTTGTATTGATATTGAATTGAACTGGATTTGTAATGTTTGTCAATGATATTTCCTGGAGAAGCGATAGAACGTAGACGTATATATTCTTTGCAAGAAGATGCGAGATGGCATAGAGAGAGGAACCCACCGACGTGGAGACACACGTTGCCGTCTCGGTGCTCGAAATAAACTCACCGTATTTTGTCTTTCTCTCTCAGCCCTACCAACGCGCTTTCACTTTTCTTCTTTAACACGTAAGCTTGGCTGGTTTAAAGCGCCTACTGTCATCCTCCTTTTATGAGGACAGGAACGAGGAGCCGTTCCGGCTGTTGGTCTCTTGCTGTTCTGAGAGAGAGAAAAAGGATCATGCTTAGAGTCATTGCCACGAAACCCTTAAAAAACTATGCTAACAGAATAAAAAGTAATGGCGAGCTTTTTTCCTACTTTTAGCTTATTCCTTTTAAAATTACCTTTTATCTTTGGTTTTAAATAAGTTTATGCATTTACAACTTTTCCTTTGATTTTTTATCCTTTTTCTTTTTTTTTTTTCTAGATAAACAACAATCAAGATGGTGGTGGGTGAAGCTAGTATACATAATATTATGGGAGGTATGGAGAGTACAGGAGGAGTGCGTCTTCATAATCACAAGAGGAAATTAAAACAAAGGTGAATTGTCTTTATCGCGATGGCTAAGAAAATAAAAAAAAAAAACGAAACATACTTGGTTTATCGTTAATTATAAAGTTTCTAATTGGCGAGTTTACAAGTTTGCAGAACGATAGGATAATAAAATACGGTCGGTCGGTGATGCGTTCACCAATTGATGAGTTTTGGCAACGATTCGCAGTTCGGTATGCGACGAGTTTTGTTTGATAATGATTTATGAAAATGAAGATGATGATGATGATGATGATAATGATAATGATAATGATAATGATAATGATACTAGAAAATCGTACGATTTGTTTCGACAGGCGCCGGCTTTCCAAGTTCGCTGGCTTCGCGATCGTTAATAATCCTAATATCCTTTCAGGTTTGACATTATTAAGAAATTGGGCCAAGGAACTTACGGCAAAGTACAATTAGGAATAAACAAGGAAACAGGCCAAGAGGTAGCGATAAAAACAATAAAAAAATGTAAAATAGAGACAGAGGCTGATTTGATTCGAATAAGAAGAGAAATACAAATCATGTCAAGCGTGCAACATCCTAATATCATTCATATTTACGAAGGTGATAAGCATTGGTGATCATTTATCATGAACAAGTTTTAAAAACTGTGAATTATTATTGAAACATTAAAATGTGTCTTTACTTTTGATAGTTTTTGAAAACAGAGAGAAGATGGTATTGGTTATGGAATATGCTGCTGGTGGTGAACTCTATGATTATTTGAGCGAACGTAAAGTTTTGTCAGAACAGGAAGCACGAAGAATATTTCGTCAGATAGCAACTGCAGTTTTCTACTGCCATAAACATAAAATATGTCATAGAGATCTTAAACTAGAAAATATACTCTTGGATCAAATTGGAAATGCTAAAATTGCTGATTTTGGTTTATCTAATGTATTCGACGAACAAAGATTATTGAGCACATTTTGCGGTAGTCCATTGTATGCAAGTCCTGAAATTGTAAAAGGTACACCTTATCATGGACCTGAAGTAGATTGTTGGAGTTTAGGAGTTCTTTTATATACATTGGTTTATGGTGCCATGCCCTTCGATGGGTCCAATTTTAAGCGGCTAGTCAAACAGATCTCCCAGTCTGATTATTTTGAACCCAAGAAACCTTCTCGTAAGTTTATCTTACGTAACAAACACGTATAACTTTTCTAGTAGTAGAAAGTTTTCTAATCAGTATTAGGGCATAAATGAGAACCTTTGTATTTTCAAGTATAATTTTATTTCAGCTGCTTCCCCTTTAATTAGGGATATGCTCACAGCTTGTCCTGCTAGACGGGCAGATATCGAAAAGATTTGTAGTCATTGGTGGGTAAATGAAGGTTACGAACAAAATTGTCTCGACATTGCAGAAGATCTTGCTGCGCAAACTCCTGTGCGACTCGATTTGTTACTCTCGTTGGTACCCCAATCGGCTAGTGCAGAAAAATTACTTGTAGGTGATCAACAAACAAGCGGAGATGTGGCAAATAATATGTCTTCCGAGACACTAGTACCTACGAGATGTCACTCCGTTGGTAGTCTAATGGAATTTGATCAAAATAATTCAGATAGACGAATAAGAGAATTATTCGAGGATGAAAATCGAGCAGCAGCAGGAGTAGGAGCAGGAGCAGGAACAGGAGCAGTTACGGATGCGAAAAGAAAATTAGAAACAACGCCATCGATGGACGAGACGAACGCGGCTACTGTTAAAAAGAAAGAAAGGTCTAGAAGAAAAGAAAGATCAGACGAAAGAGAGCCTAGAATGTATAGATCAACGTCCAGGCATCATTCAGCACCAATTCCAAACTCCATAATGGAAGAAACAATGGAAGTAGAGCCTACAGCGACTGCAACTGTTCCTACTAGTAAGACTGTTGATTTAAATAAATTAAATGAGGCAGCTTGTTTAGAATTAATCGAAGAATCTAAAGAAAAATCACCTAGCAAAGAAAGAAGTAAGACGCCTGTACCTATAGAACACGAACAATTACCCAAAGAAATGTCTGCTAAAAATATTGATAGATATTGCGATACTAGTCAAAATGAAAACAAGGAAAGTATGTTGCAAGATAAATACTTGAAAAAATCTGAAGAAAAAAGTAATCTTCAACAAGCTATTGCTTCTGTAGAAACGAATAAAAGTACACATGCATTACCAAATAAAGTATCCTCGAGTAAGAAATTAATAAATGATACTTCCAAAATAAATGTGCCAAATAAAGATAATTTAAGTAATAGCAAATTGGAAATAGATGACTCCCATCAATCTGTTTCGGATGATACGAAACAAATCAAATCTATGGATAGAGAAATAAAGAAATTAAAAGAAAGAGCGTTGTCACTTGATTTTGAACTTGCCAACGAAGTTGTTGAGGATGTACTTGCGAAACCAGCTGAAAGACGGCGATCGAGAATTTTTGAAACTACTGAAAAATTTAATCAAATGTCATCCTCTTTAGAAAATGACAAACCCAAAAAGATTTTCATTCCTGGTGTTAATGTTGGTGGTGCCAAGCGTGCCTTTGAACGCAAAGCAAGTCTTACATCTGGTACCATTACACCAGTTAAACATAATGCTTCTAAAGTTATTATTGATGTAGACAAAAAATCAGAAAAAATAGAAGATAAATCTAAACTTAATCAGGCTAGTATAGATACAGAAGAAAAATTGATTAAACGAGATGAAGCTAAGAAACGAGCAGTAGATATAATATCTGGTGCAATTGGTAAACCACCTGTGCTTCGAAAAGTTAATGGTTCTCCACCAACATCACCTCAAAACCAAGAGTCTAAGAAGATAGGATTGAAATCGGTTGGTCCGAACGATATTAGGTCTGCTACGGTATCGGCATCCGCTTCAACTGAAAATAAATTTTCATTTGACAATAATTCTATATCGTCCGACATTACAGTGAGTGATATTTACTATTTCATAATTTATAAAAAATGACATTTCATCAATTATTACATATCTTTCTTATTTTTCAGACACCTACTACATGTGAAATATCCGAAAACAATAATTCACTAACAGAAGAGCCAAAGTTGTCCAGTAAAATGGAAATAACGCTTAAAAGTGCCACTTTACCACGACCTCGTAAAACAAGTAAAGCGGAAATTACATTATCAGGGCATAAGATTCCAGATACAGTTGCTTTTAAATCAGAAGTAGAAGCTAAAGTCGATACTTTCCCTACACAAAAATTAAGAACGCAAAAATCTGAAATAGCATTTCCTGTGGCTGCAGTGGTTCCACAAGCAAATAGAAGTTCTAGTTTGGAACCAGAAATAAAACCAAAAGTTCAACCACGGGAAAGGATCATTCCTATTCAGGTAATTTGACAAAATAAAAGAATCTTTGCATCTCATAATGATATATCTTAATAATAGGTTGAACCAGACCATCAACATGCACAACAATCATCAACTACCCCTCCTAAACCTCCGATGCCACAAAGATCGATGTCTCAGCGATCAGGATCTTTATCTCGTCAATCAACAGCAGACTCTGATACTGACAGTGCTCTTGGTTCAACGATAGGACCAGAACCAATAAGGAAGAGTCCAAGGGAATATATAATTCCTATTGCTGTAGAGGGCGGTGGTTATGTTACACCTAGATCTGGAAGCGTAGAACCAGAAAGTAAAACTGGCACATCAACTGGTAGTATAAATGCACCAAGATCCAGATTCAGTAGACCAAGAAGAATGAGTTCTCTTTTATCTGATGCTAGTGAGGATGAATCGCCATTTTCTACTTTACATAGGTAACATTATGCTCTATTTATAATAACTTTTGATGAAATCTTAATAAACGTATAACTAAAGTAAAACATATACATTTTTCAGAGATAGCGAAGATCTTTTACAAAGGCATATGCACAGATTAAGAAGTTCTCGGCCATCTAGACAACCTTCCGAACATGGCGATAGCTTATCTTCCGGCGAAGATGACGACGACGATGGTTTCGAACTATTAACAGCTGAAAATTTATTTTCTACGTTATTATCTAGAGTACGAAGCTTAACACAGAGACTTAACGTTGATGATACCAGAGGAAGTAGTTTTCCAAGTAGCCGATTATTGGGACGACTTGGTGTTAATTCGCCACAAAATTTTTGGAGTCATAATAAACCATTATCAAGGTAATTTGACAAATGACTTAATTAGATATTATTTTAAATGACTATACACGTATGGTATATGTGATACATAGTCGTATGTAGAACAAATGTATGAGTTAAGTATTTTTTGTGTCTAACGGCAATGGTATCATTGCTCATTTATGCAAGCCACGAGAGCTACTTTGAAACAAGGACCGTGACAACGTGAGTTCGATTTAAGGACATAATAAAATAATGTAGAGAAACTATCATTTTTCTCACTTGTGGACCTTTAAAAACAAACATTTCTTATACCATGCACAATTGACTATTTTGTAGACATATATTATTTTATTTCGTTTCATTTGCAATGCCGTTTTATATTCAACACGTGGTAATAGTGGCACACATAATACAGAAATAAGTGAGCTGAAAATAATTTCAACCTGTCCATAGATACTGGCACTCTTTTTTATGCACTACCCTTTGATTTTATTACTCTACTCTGCTCTCTATATTGTAAATTAAGAAAATATTTAATCTTGGCATAAATCAATAATGATAGTTATTTATCATGATATAAATAAATACTTGGCCAAAATATCGTTAATAATTATTGTTACAATTAAGAAACTTTGTTTCTTATTACTACAGGCGACTTTCGGAATCGCAGTTCAAACATTCTCTGAGTCGTGACACCGATATATTTGGCAGAAAAGATTCTACCAGTTCAATAAATCCTGGCTCTCCTAATAGTCCAAGTTCTCACAACGCACCTTCTTCGAGGGAGAGTGTTTTTGAAATCGGAAGCAATACATTACCACGAGGTAAGGGTATTAATATATATATATATATATACGGTCTACAATTTACCGTGGAATTACCTGTAAAATAATAAAATTATAATCTATTCGAAATACTGTAATACACTTTGCTTGTTTAAAATTAAATAAGCTTATTGAAATAAATGATTAATAACTGGTGTCCACTGTGAAATGTATAAATTGAAATATTTGATGTTGTATGGTGTTAACACACGTTTTCACAGTAGTTATATTATAATTTCAACACATTGCGGCGTAATCATTACTTTTGCAATTACTTTTTCTGTTTATCGTATCGCTTTTGTTTTTTGTAGATAGAATTAAACAAACGTAGATAATTACTTAGATTGAAAAGATCTGCTGTGAAAACGTGATATTATTATGCTATTTTGTCACTGGTTAAGAATATTAGCCATGTGAGAAAATGCTGGATTGTATTCAGTATGCATTTCCTAGTACCTAGCTGTTGTCGAGTCGTTGATAGACAGAGCATATCTTTTTCTGTTTATTTTATTGATTTACCTATTGTTTTTTATTTTTTATTTTCTCCAATTTATTCCTTTGATTTATTGCCTGACGATGTTTTGCAACTTTTGACTACTAACATTTTTTTAGAATAACTAGATGGTTCATGTTTGGCACAGGTGGGTAGACATTTTATTGATTTTTTTTTTCTTTTCTTTTCTTTTTTCTTCGCGAATGATATCTTTTTTTAATATATATTTTACTCGTCGTTTAATTTAGTATATTTATTTTAATTCTTACGTTTTTATTATTAGTGAAAACGAAATTCAATATTTTTTACAAATAAATTATTTCATTAATTTTATACGTATTGTCTGTTAGCAATAATTGCTACATCAAATTAAATTTTTTTTCTCGATCTTATTTAAATATTTATTATTTGACATATAACTCGTTTACCCCACAAAAGATAATATATAAAAATTATTTATTAAATCTAGAACTTGTATGCCTTGTCATGAATCATTAATAGATAGTTCATATTGAAATTACACAATAATTTATACGCTAGGATATTTAATAATAACATAAGTACAAGCTATTCCTAATTGTAATAAAAAAAAAGAAATAGTAATAATAATTAAAAAATACAAATAAAAAAAAAAGGTCGTAAAATCAACCATAGACTCACTTCGCCTGACATAGAACCTTTGTAATACGCAGTAGTTGTTGTAATGCTGTTGTTGATTTATATTATCCTTTATAACACATTAGTGAAAAAACCTTTATCTTTTCATCTATCTAGAATATATATGTATATATATATATATATATATATATATATATTAAGACTCAGAGCATGAATACACACATCCATAAACAAATATACAAAAGATACTCAATTCCACTTTCCAAGACAGAGATCCATATAGTTCGAATTTATGCATTATTTCACGTCTATCGTCGACTCTTCAATCAGTAATTAAATTTAATATATTTATTACCACTGATATTGATATTCAGGAGATTATATTTTTCACTTAAAACCTATATTTAAAACACAGAATAATTCTTTATTTCAAAGTAATCTATTTAAATGATCCAATAAAATACAATATTTTTTTACTCAATGATCCATAAATAAATATATCAATTCTGTATTAGACGACGAGATTATCAATAACGTTACGTTAATTAATATTAAAATTATCTATACATATATTATAATTCTCTCAAAATATTGAATAATAATCTGATTATTGGATTATATTAAATTGATAAAATTATGTATATTTTTACAATATACTCCTAATATCATATCAAAGTAATTCTATGAGATTTTAAGCAATAATGTTTATCAAAGATGTATTCAGCAATATTTCAATGGTCTTAGTTTAATAATACGTATTGACGGACTTTTATAACGGTTGTTGCAGCGACCGTGCGAGTGACTCTACGTAGGCGGACTGACGGTAATCCCCAATAGAGACATACCAAGTTAGGTACTATATTATATCTAATTTAGTGAATGTGACCAGAGATGGTCCTTCCGATATATAAATATTGAATTATTTCATCACATACACTTTCTTTTCGAACTCCTCAAACATTCGTTGATCTTATATGACGTCGTTCATATTACTGTATCAAACAATACCATCATTACAGTATAGTTATATATATATAACATTTTGTTGTTATTTCTTTTATCTTTTTTTTTCTTTTATAATATATGTAGCTGTTTAACAGAAAGTTTCATAAGAAGAAGCACACATATTTTAACAGCTTGTAAGCGTGTGCATTAAAAAGGCATTAGACGGCGAGAATTAATTTGTATTATTTATTCTAACATGCAAGCATGTATATGTTTATTTATTTATTATATATCTTTTGTAATATGAGGAGAAATTATAGAAGGGGAGAAAAGAGAAGGAGATAAAGAATAAGAAGTAAAAAGTTTTGGGTCTTTTTTTTTCTTCAATTCAAATATATGCTGACATGTTAAGAATAGTTGAAATTTATAGAAAAAAAATCTAGCAATCGACAATTATAAATGTGATATCAAATAAAATATGGAGACTTAGAAAATGTATAATCGTACTACTATGCCTGCTGAAAGTTATTGACAAATAAACTAATCGTTGGCGTATTGTAAAAACAAACAGTTGTTATGAAAAAAAGGAAAGCAATTTTTGAAATGAGATTTGTAGGGAGGGTGTTATTAAGTTGTATATGGCAAACTGAAGCTAACACTTGTATGTAATGGCTGATATTTGTTGTGTTTTAAGAGTTTAAATAACAGTGTTTTATTATTACTTCTCATTGTCTGTCAGCATGCTTTAATATAATGTTATTTATACATATTGTATTTAATATTATAAATATTGCATTATAATTCTCTTCAATTTTTTATATTTATTCATTTAACACATTGTGATTTAGAAAAGTATGATGAAGGAAATTATATATTTATTCTTAGCGTGTATCTCTTTGATCTATCGCAGTTATGTCTTGATACGTTAATTGTCTGTATAGTCTACTACATCTATCATTTCTGAAAATGTTAAGTAAATTTTTTGTGTGCATGTAATTGTTAAATGAGTACACAATAAGTGTATACACGTAATTTTTTTTGTTTGCTTTATATATATGTATATATAACAAATTTTATATATGTATATATAAACAAAACATACACAAATATATAAAGAAATACAGTGGGGCTAGAGAGAACGAGAGTGTGAGTGAGAAACTAAATCTGTATGTGTATGTGTTTAATGAGAGAAAGAGAGAGAGAGAGAGAGAGAGAGAGAGAGAGAGAGAGAGAGAGAGAGAGAGAGAGAGAAATCACTAGAAGCAGATAGATAGACGTTGACAACAAACATATTTACCTTGAATGCATATTTTCAGTCATATTTTTTATCGTACGAGTTGTTTAGAAAAGAAAGGAAAAAATCAATAATATTTATTATAAATTCTTCCATTATTCTAAGTCTAACATAAGTCATTATATAGGCTAGCGGTCTTAGAATGATTAATTGAAAATATGCATCATCTTGTATAAATTAGTGTTCCACGTATATTAATGGGCAAACTTTTAAATATATATATATATATATTTATATATATATGTATATATATGTAATAATTTGGGAGATTTTTAAGATGAGAGAGAGAGAGAGAGAGAGAGAGAGAGAGAGAGATTAACATTATTTATTAATTTTTCGACAAATTTTATAAGAAGGTTTTATGTATGTAGAAATAAAGGAGTGTAATTATTAATATTGGAGGTATTTTTCACATATCCTTGTTAAAAATCCAATTGTTTCTTTCTTTCTATTTTCTTTTTCAAAAATTTTTTTTTTAATTTTTCTTTTTCTTTTTTTGTTTAACAGCCGTTTGTACGTAGTATTCGCATAGACATTATCTCAATTTTTTCCAGATAAAGTAGAACATGAAGACATAGAAGCGGAGGCGATACAAATCAGAAAAGAGGCTCAAGAATCCTTAGAACAGAATTTTACTCCTAGTTTGGCAAGAAGATTAAGCAGACAGTTTATAGAACAAACTAGACAATCATTACCGAGGTCGCCATCAATATTATGTGAGAAATATTATCAATCTCCTACTAGGGAAAATTTAAGTTTAATAGATACACCAAATGGTATTAAAAGACATTCTAGTTCAACATCATCGGATCAAACGGAATATAGAAGTAGATCAGCAGATAGAAATATTCGAAGAACCAATAGTTTGTTGGAAGCCGGAAACAAAGCGGATAAACCAGATTATAGATTTTCTAGAAGAAGTATCAGTCTATTTGATGACGACGATAATTTCTTATCACTTCCAAGACAAGTTATGACTCTTGGAAGAAAATATAAAGAAAGTGGAAAATTAAATTCTGGGAATACTTGGAAAGATACTTTTAGCGTTCATAGAACTGATAAAATACAAGAAGAGTCTCTAGAAGATACATCACAATTTCCTAAAGAAGTTTTAAACAGTACAGATAATAATGTTGACATTGGTCCAACATCCGAATGTACTTCAATATCAATATGTAATTCAAATACAAATTTAGTTGATACTACATCTAGTATATCTAATACATCGCCTGTTGATTCTTCATCAAACATATTAATTGATTCTGGTAAATCACTGTACAGAATGGAGTCGTCGAAAAATTTTGAAAATAGATTATTGGCAGCCGAAAATTTAATAAAGGAATCAAAATTGAAAAATTTAGGACCTACGAAGTTTGATCCGAATTTAAATAGTAATTACAAAGAAACAGACAAATGCGACAAAGAATCTTTAAGTTCAATATCGGATGCACCTAATGTGAACGTATCTAAACGACGTAGTTGCATTCCAAGTTTAAGATTACGATCTGGTTCTTTAACAAGAGAACCTTGTATAGATAATGATAGGAGAAAATCATTTGCCGGGTCGCAAAGCGCTCTTTCTAACATTAGAGCATTGTCGCCAGAAAAATCTATTTTAAGTAAATTCTTTAGAGCTGGTAGTAGTAAGGAAAATGATTCCAAGGACAAATCTCAAAAACCAAAACAACATCGAATTTCACGATTCTTACGACCAGACTTTTTCGATACTCCGAGGGAAGAAAGTCGCTACGTTAAAGAAAAAGAAGCTCAAAAAGCTGCAGAAAACGAACGAAGAAAATCGAGATTTATGAAGAAGAAAAATGAAAATAAAAGTACGGAGTCTAAGTCAGAAACAAAGCCAGAAAAGGAATTAAAGAATGAAATGAATTCACTTAAAAAAGATAAGTCTGATAATTCCTCTGACGATAAATCTAACAAAAACGATAATTCGAATGTAAAATTTGAAAGGCAATCCTCGAGAAGTAGTTTTCTACATTCTTTAGAAAAGAAATTAGAAAAATTTCGTGTCACGGATGATACATCCAAATCTTCTAATGGTGGTATTTTGATTGATCAGAAAGTAAGAGCTTTGAGAGAAAACTCAGCACCACCCTCAGATTCTTTATTCACGGAATCAAATTTAATAAAAAGAGCAATTAGCGTTGAGGATTTGTCACTGACGAAAGAAAGTTCTCTTAATAGTAGAAAAAGTAAAGTATCGTCTGTTTTAGGATTGTTTAAAAGTTCTGATGGTAAGCAAAATTCAAACGCGACCAAATCACAAAGTACTTTAATGAGTAAATTAAAGAAAAGCCCTCCCAAAGTTATCAAAGCAGATACTTCGACAAACGAGGATACGTCATCGACAAGTAAAATTCCAATGAAAATGATTAAAAATGATTCTCGATCAATTAAAAAGCCCATAGAAAGTAAAAAGACTTTGGACAATACTGTAACGGAATCAAAAAAGCTGCTGTATAAAGACAAAGTAAAAGAAAGAGATACGAATTTGAAAGAAAGAAAGCTGTTTAACGAAAAACAATCAAAAACAAGTGAAGAAGATAAGTTGCAAGTAAATAAATTATCTTCAACGGAAATTTCAACAGTTGACAAAGAAATAGTTAAGAAAACAAATTCTTGCAAGAAAGAAGATGATCCTAAAGCTATTTCTAATACGTCAGAAACTCGTAAAATAATTGACAATGTTTCTTTAGAAGGAAATAGCAGTAAACAAGAAAATAAGATATTAAAAACGAAAAAGAGCATAGGATCTGTAAAAAAGATCAGTACTACTGCACTTACGAAATCCGAGAAAGAAGAAAATGGCGATAAAAAGGGATCTAAAATTAGTAAGTTAAAGGACCCTGTGCAAAAAGAAGAAGCTGAAGGTACTAAGAAGAAAAAAATTGTACGTGTCGTTAAAAAGGTAGTGAAAAAATCGTTAGAAAATTCTGATAATAAATCGGAAGAAAAAGTAAAAGTTACAAAACCAATCGGAAAGGGTAATACTTCGTCTAAAAAAGAAAAGAGTCCTGAAGTTTCTGCGTTTAATGTTGATAATTCGAACGAGCGTAATTCTGATTTGCTAAATTTATCCAAAATTACGACTAACGATTGTTCGACTCAAGAAACACATACAAAGCTGAAAGCGAATCTTTCTTCCGTTGATTTGATATCAAATAAGTGCGAATTAGCATCTGGAAATAATGCAAGTAAAAATGTTGATAATATTCAAATGAATACTACGGATTCTGATACTTCTCAAATAAAATATACTGAACCGCGATTAAACAGAGGAAATTTAAAGCTTGATTTATCTAAAATACCTCAACATACATTTAGAAATACTACCTCTAAAAAGGAATCTCCAAAATCAGAATCAATTAAAGTAAATGCTAACGCGTCATCTCGATCTCCGAAAATAAACGAAAGTACTGTCGATATTCCATCAGAAAAGTTTTTAGATTCTTTATCAAAAATGACACACCATGCAACTATCACTGGTAACAAAATAATTATCGATAAGCCACTGAGAGCTAAGGATGTTGCTGAATTGAAGAAAGAGGTAAACGAATGTACAAGACGTATCGAAAATCAAATAGAATTACATAATGATACTATGCAATCTAATGAAGATATTATCGAAGTAAAAGAAGATGAAATGAATGCAAAATACACTGCCTCAAATATCATTGAAGAAACCATATCTGTAAATGAAAAGGATAGTTTGAAAGATACAATGCAATCTACTAATATGGATAATACATATGCAGATGAAATAACTTCACCCATCGATGAACCAGACAGTTTTGATTCATGGTCTTTATGTTCGGCCGATTTGAATCACACGAGAGTCGACTTAAGTTCGCCGACTTCACCCTCGTATTCTCTTTTTTCGCGTGGAGATCAAGGAGAATCTGTAATAGATAGAATACGAAGGAGAAGTTTTTATTTAAGATTTAACGATAGAAGAAGGCCTTCTTTAACAGTACCACCACCAGGAGTAACTTTACCAAGGAAATATAGTTTTAGTAGTTCAAGAGATAGAGATCGTAGTAAATTGAATAGTTATCCTTCATCTAATAAAAAATTAATGCAAAGAAGTTATAGTTTACACAATGACGATATAAACTCATTTAGAAAATCACCTATTGATAAAGAAAAATACACAGATTTAGTATCGTATAATATGGAAGTTAAAACACCTACTGATCATTATAGTAGTTATTCACATTCAACGTACGATCCATTACGAAAATATTTAAGATCTCCAACATTAGAATTATCTACAGCACATAAAAGGTACCACAGTACAGATTTTAGTACGGAAGATGAATTAGGAACATATAGAAATTCTTCTTTGAATTCTATATTAAATGTCAATCCAGTTGAATTTTATGGAAGTAGAAATTCTAGTATGCTACCGAGAAAGTATGGATCTACTATTACCTCATCGGAACCAAAGACAGTAGAATATTATGAAGAATTGTTGTCTCCAAATAATCCAGAATATCTAACTGTACGAAAATCTCCAATGTCTAATGAATATCTAAACAGATGCGAAAATGGATATCACAATACTAATTCAGTTAAGCCTAAGACGTGTATAGCTAAAACAAGAATTGAGTCCACAGAAGATATTAATAAAGAACTTGAAGAACGAGGAAGGTATTTATATCATTTCCTATTTTTTTTTTCATTTTATCAAAAATCAAATATATTTGTTATTTTTTATTATAATTAATATTACATGTAATTTTTAATTTTTTCAGAATAACAAATCGATGTAATAGTGAGTCCAAAGATTTGCCTTCAACTTCTTCATCAGATTTTTAATAAAAATGAATAAAGGATTATTAAATATAAGCAACAATAGTAAGAGTGAAAGTGGAGCATCCTTTTATATTATATATTTTTATCCAATTAAAAAGTATATTTTTCAATTACTATACTCACCTATTTCTGTCATAGATTTTTACAATAATCCACCATAAAAATAATTTATACAAACGTTTTAGAGAAATTTTAATAGACTTTTAAATATCTCATCGATATATGAATCAGCACCAACAATGTTAAGTTTTATTTGAATATATTATTACATACTTGCTTTCACGTTTAACATTTATAAATATACATATTATTACTATTATTTCGAGCACGAATATTCTACAAAATATATAAATATTATATAAAACTTCATATCATCTAATATATACATACGTGTGTGTGTGTAAAGAAATGTATCAAATATTTTAAACGTGAAAGCAATCATTTTAATGTATAATGTTTTTATATATAACAAATACATGTTAAGTATCTATATATTTCAAGCTTCTTTGTATGATAAGAGTTCTGTTGCAAAGACAATATAAATGGTGAAATAATAAGAAAGAAGATATTGTTCGAACTAAACGAAATTGTCGCATGTGTTATTCAAATGTTTTCTCTCTTTTATTGCGAGTAAGATTATGTTGTTACATAAATTCATCATGGATAACATTAATATTGTATTAATCATTTAGTTAGTTCATATATTTCTTGATAGTTGTGTCAACATTTGTGTTTTACCTATTTTTTTTTTTCTTTTCTTTTTTATAATAGCTTTAAACAAGAAGCTATATGTATACAATATATTTAATGCTTATATTTATCAAAAAAGAGAAAGTGTTAAGGTACGCTAACGAAGTATTTCTATCGAATGATCGATTTTTCTTATTTCTTTTCTTTTTTGCAACAACAAAAAATAATGCGATTAAACAATACGACGTCAAAATGAAAATAGAATTAGTGTAGCATACAAGTGCGTTTTTATTAAGAAAATTCCAGCATATAGTTTATTGATACAAATCTATTGTATAACATATATACATATAGCATATTGTGTTTCCCAAATATAATGACATTGTTTTATGAAAAATATTGTAAGTTATGTAAGTGCGGCATTGTATATAACATTCACATTCAAGTTGGTTTTCTTATTTTTTGGGAGTTTTGTAACATCAACTAAATCTAACATTATAAAAAATCTTATTTGGACTTAAATATATTGGCGATAGTTGAACGTACATTCAGAGTAAAAAGACCAAATTACGAACGAAAAGCTCGAGTATTTTAATGAGCTTTTTATTACGTTCAGAAACGTTTATGAATAATTTTGTAATTTATACCAACAAATATGTTACTATTGTTCATGGAGCAATAACTTTTGTTAAAAAAAGGAACGAAATTTATAATATAACGATATATGTAAAAATACTTCTTGAAAGTATGAGAAACGAAGTAGAGCTTTGATTCCTTGTAGCAATGTTGCCTTATATTTAAAAAGACGATTGCTGGTTGGATCAATCAAGAAGCGAAAAAAGTTGATGTTTGTATAGAAGCCTCTGACTGATCAACCAAAGTCTTCCGCTTGTTATGTATGTGTTTTCTATTGATATACACATTTTAAATAAATATTAATAATTGAATGACTATATATATTTTTCTCCACATTTAAGCAACTTCATATATATAAAGATTGATGTTTAATATTTATGCATTCTAATTTTTCGTCTAAGGATATTCTGAATCTGTTAAGCTAGTCACACCCTTTATTAAGAATTCTTATATGGATCCTGTTAAATTACGTTTTTATGCTGAACGGTATGAAAAAGAAAATCGTACATTGAAGCTACAAGAACAATTTGTTCTTACAACACACACTAAATCTTTGACCGGAAAGTTTTATGCACGTCATGATGCTGTTTCTTCATTTGACATACCAGAAGAATATATTGAATTTATTGAAAGACGTACAGCTCTAACACCAAAAAATATTTATACATTTAGACCTCCTTCAGTTAATATGGAGTAAATTATCAAATAATTCATTATAACTTCATTATAGGAAGTAAAGATTTCAAAATTATTGAAAATGATTGTAGATATGGATGGTTTACGAAGCCATTGATACCTATATCGAATGATCCAAGATTAAATTTTGTTAAAAAAGGATGTGATTTTATTAAGAAAGAGTTATATCAGCGACATCTTCAAAAAGGTCTACCGATAAAAAGATTTACTGGTGTACCTTTTAAGACTTAATACTTTTATATACATATAGCATATGTAATATCTTCTTAAAGCCTCAAAATAAAATTTTATATCTTTGTTTATGAAAAATGTTGCTAATTATTATATTTGTACATGCAATTAATACGCGTTTCTAGCTTTATTATTCGTAAATTATTCATATACATATATCTCTTATGTTGATAAGAATTCTACAACTGTGTTAAATTCAATACTAATGTTGTGTTATTGTTTCCTGGCAACATGTATATTACCATATACCAGCCTTCTTCTGACAATATGGAAATTCTTAAAGAATTGATAAGTGCCTTAAAATAAGTTATTAAATAATTTTTCAAATTCATTAAGCATACTGATAATACTAATGGTGATAGAAAAATAATAAGAACAAACTTTTCTCGATCAGTACAATGGAGTTATTTACGTTAGTGAAGTAGTTGTCAATAAACATGACAGGAAGAGGCTTTTGTGTTAAAATACAGCTCGATCTTCATGCTGTATGTATATAATTAATGTCACCAAATTTTCAAAATACAAAAACTTACTCTTTTTGTTTTTTCTTTTTTAACACAGATTAGATTATAAAATTATTAATATTTTTTTTTGTAGGTAACTTGTCCCGGTGTCTGGCTATGTCCAAATGGCAAAATAATTTTAAAAATAACTGCTCTGAATTCTAATGCCGAATCTCATAGAATTGCACCAATTTTTCCATTATTATATAATGAAAAATTTACATTTGAAAAGATGTTTTCTTCTGTAGTTACTTTAACTGAATTACAAAATAGCTTGGAACAAGAATTCTTTTTTGCAGAATTAGTACAATGGATTACACCTTCTGGTAGAGGAGTCATTTTAGCTACATTTGAAACAAATTTAGTTGACTTATTATATCCTACATCATCTTTCAAGGGTCTATTAGCTGGCGTAGATATAGATTTGCTTATGGAACCTACTAAATATTTTCCTGTAAGATTAATTAAAATTTTCTCATCTATATTTATTCTTACTTTAATAATGAAATCAAATCTATATACATGCAGGGTATAATAGCACCTAAAATTGAAGTTTCTACGAAAACCATTATAGAAGGAGTCATAGATATAGATGACATTAATACGTCAGCGATACTTATCATTAATCCAAAAACAATAAATTCGAAGGTACTACGTTGTTATTAATTTTAAATTATATTAATCCATACTTTCTGTTAAAAAAACAACCTATTTTGCAGAGTGCATCATGTATCCACAGAAAACGTTCGATCAAGGGCATTATCAGACAGAAACGAGTTTGCCATAGTCAAGGAATAATTAGAGATCGAAATTATCAATTGTATGTAGAGCGTATAAAAATTAGAAACATAGACAGAAAATTGGTATATGTTGATCAATTATATTTTACCGTTTTTGCAGATCTCGAGAAAAATCAAATAATAAATATAATTCATATATATATTCTCAGTATTCTCCCGTTAAAAAAGTACAATGTTCTAATAGTCAATATTATTGTGCAGGAAAGAGATTTGTTTGTAATTGTGAACCATGTTGTTCGAAGAAAAAATCTAAACTGTTAACTTCGTATAATGATTTACATATTTATGACAATTGTCCCGTTTGCTTGAAATACAAAGATTATTTTTCTAATCAAAATAATGTAACTGATACAGCACAAAGTTATAAAACTTATTGTAAAAACCATTTGTTAAAAGACCATCATTACTCTAAGTGCATTTGCCAGTTTTTTGATAATCAAAATCACAATACTATTCATTCTCCAGACAATGTACATACAGGGCAAAAAGAATCGACAGTATCAATGTAAGATAACTACTATTAATTAATACATATATGTGAATATCTACAAAAAAGATATATATATATATATTATTTTACAGACTAGGATCAAAAGGAGAAACGAAACTGAATGAAACTTATCATAAATGTGAGCAAAATCAATTGAAGGATTTTTATAAAAATTTGGAAAAATTTTATAAGAGAATGTATGAGCAAGCAAGAATACATGCCGAAGGAATTGGTGCATAAAGTATTTACTGCTATTTGGTATGAATTTCACATGTATTTTATTTTGTGGTATTTTGATTAAAATTCGACCTATGTTATTAAAAGGATTTAATTTTCTTTTTTCTTTTTTAAAAATAGATAAAAATAGGTAAACAAGCCTATTTTTACAAGAAATTTCTAACTCTAAGACCTCAATATCATGTATTGTCGTATTATATTACAGTATTATTTTTTCACGTTACATTATTCAATGTAATGTGATTATACTGTACTTTATATAAATATTCACAGAGTAAGTTGTAAAGAACACTAATCTGAGGAACGAATTTTTTTTTCTCTCGCATAAACTTGCTTTCCACTTTTGTAAGCTGGTGTACCAAGTACCCTTGCACCACGATAAATAACGGATTTTTTCAAAAGAGCTGGCATTCTTAAATATATACCTCGTCCGCTTGGAGTCCAACCTTGTAATCTAACCATTTCATTTTGTTTAGGAGTTACGGCTATCCAACCTATTGAAATATACTTCAATATTATGTACAATTTTTAAATGACTTGTAATGTCTTAACTCGCTACATGTAAATCAATATTAGAATATTTTTCATTTACTCAATCGTTCATATATATTCGTTCATATAGAAAGAGAATTACCTGCATTCGATAAAACAACATCTGCTGCAGATTCCATTGTATCGATGCCTGTTACTCTGAACTGTTTTGATTGTAAGGAGGGCCATACTTTCAACCTTTCTAGATCATTTATAGGCACAGAGAATGCATCTGTGTGTAATAATTCAGTATATAAATCATCTGCATCAATGAGACGACACATTGTAATAGGTAACATGTGGCTTGCAAAAATCGTACATCTGGAACAATTTTCTAATAATAGTAATTTTATATTGGTGATATTAAGAGCAGTATATAAGTTTACTACCTAATAAATGAGTTTCCTTCTAAATAATCCAACCTTCCTAAGCCTCCTATAAATATTGTTTCTTGTGGTTGGACAACAAATGTTCTAGGTGAAATAATTTGATTTGGCATTGTTTTTAGTATTTCGTCAATTGTTAATAAGTCCATTATTTGATCCGGTTGGATAGTTCCAGGTGTATCATAACACCAATGGCTATCCTTGTATTCAGAACTGGTTTCATCCAACCCAAACTTGGCATGATTAAATTTAGACGAATTAGAAGAAAATGAATCCCATTGTAAATTATTGAATGTGTGCGATGAAAAAGTCTTACCAACATATCCTAAATAACATTAATAAGGTTATTAGATACAAGAAAGAAACGAATTTAATGAATTATAGGTATGCAAAAGAACAAAGTTCATAACATACCTTCTAATGTAGCATATTTTATATCACCCGATACTAACAATTGATAATTATTTATGAATTGTTTCGCGTGTATGTCTGCCCTCTCAGCTTGTAATCTTAACATTCTGTAATAAAGTCTCTTTCTAGAAGGATTCAAAATAGGAAATTTTAATAAATTCAAAGTTGTTCCTGGCCATAAAGAAATTGTTGCACGTTGTACAAGATTAGCAGCTTTCACTTTACAATAATCGGATTGTAAAAGACTATTAAATAATGAAGATTTACCCACATTTGTGCACCCAATTAAAAACACATCTCCTGCAATATTAAGACACAATCTTATAAGAAAAAGCAGATATATATTTGAAATGAATATAATATCAATTTTCGTATACCTTTATATTTCCATATGCTATGTAATTTATTTATAAGTTCCTCTACTCCGTATCCAGTCTTAGCAGAAATTAAGGATACATGTTTAATATTTTTTGGTAATATCCCAGTGTCTTCTACAGCTCTTGATACACACTCTTTAATATGATCTTCGAATACCGGTGAATCTTTAGGGAGCAAATCAATTTTATTTCCAACTACGAAGACTGGTGTATTAGGATGTAATATAGTACCAATATTTGGCCATATACTACATGGAAAATCTGTTAAGTCTACCATTAAAATAACTGTACATTTTTTTGTTTTAATAACTTTTAAAAGTTCAGGATATTCTTCCGAGGATACTTTAACTTCTAAGGCCGTGTTATAATGTTTCAAAAAATGACATCTTTGACAAACCATCATTTTTAGTTCCTCGTTGGATATACCCATGAATATTTCTGATGGTAAATAACCAGGAAGCGCATGATCCTTACAATGTAATAAAGCTCCACAACCACCACATGGAATATTACTAATGTTACTGTTTTGATTTGGTGTACCATAAAGCCAATCGTTTGGGTTTTCATTCATGTCGCTATACTGTTCATAATCATTCATCCAATTGTGTGCAACATTTTCCAAGTCTTTTAATTTTCTGTCATAATAAGCTTCTTCGTACTCTATAAAAGTTTGTTTTTCTTTAACTTGAAGAATTGAATTTTTAGTTTTTAAATATTTTTCATATAAATTCTTATAAGTTATATTAAGTGATGATTCATTGCTTATTTCTTTAGAATTATTTTTAATTTTGTCAGTAGGCATGTTGATGACTTTAAAACTATCCGTAGATGCATAAGGCATATGTACGACATTATGCAATTCTATATCATCTGAATCGCAAAGCATTTCCCTTGAATTTGCAGCATTATGATCAGCAGAATTATTATTATTATTACCACTACGGTTTAATATAACACTAAACACAGGCTCACTTACTTGTCTTAATATTCGTTCTTGATGTTTTACCTCATCCAACTTGTTTTTTATTTTGATACGATTTAAATATCCTAATTTTCTTTTTTCATAAGACAAGTATTCGCTGTATAATATTTTATGCCTCAGCTTTTTAACTTTATGATCAATTTTGTATATAATATTTTCATCGTCCTTGGTCTTCGTAGAATATTGCAATTTTTGAACAAAAGAATAATTCGTAGAACATAATCGCAATAAACGATAATAAATATCATTACTTTTGTTAAATTTTGTCCATAGATTTACATGTACCGTTAATTTAATCAACGACATGCTTCTAATATTAAATGACAAGTATCTCCTCAATTATATATGTAGTAAGAAATAACGTTCTATTAAAAGTGAACAATTATCATTAGAATTATTTATTGTTTTTGCACTTTTAAATCATAACCATTAAACTGAAAACATACTATTAGAATTTTAGCGGTGTCAAGTATTGTGTTATTTTTTCCCTAGACAATTTAATTCGATGAACAATTATTTCTCGAATATTTTGGAAAGATTATAAAAAGGAAAAAGAATGTTTGAATATAATTAGGGGTTAATTAATGAAAATACTTTGGCTTATAAACTATATTTATAGAATGTTTCGATGAACGATAGTGAACGATAGTGAACGATAGTAAACGATATATCGAAAGTCGATAGGGCGTCGTGCTTCCCGCCACGAGACGCGTTTCGCCGGTATGACGAAAAATGCCGGACGCGTCTAACTGCGTAGCTCATCGTAGATGAAAATATTTCAGGGTGATTATCTAATTAATCGATGGATAACGTTATTTCCAAGTAATACGCGATTGAGTGGCACATCTAAAGTCAATCAAGTGTGTCAATTCAAGAGTCATTCGGAAGTACGAAGAAACGAATAGTGTTATTTGTTTGGCGGTAGCATGGCGGAATCTCGGAAGGTAAATCATTTGTTATTTTTTTTTTCTTTCGTATTATCGGATAATACAAATTTTGCGTGCTTATTTCATAGTCCTTCTAGTGTTGACGCGCTAATATTTTCAATGATTATCATTCCATCTATCTTTTCTATCCTATATATTCACAGTTCATATATTTTTATCCTAGTTATGTAACTTAAAGATATAATAAGAATACCACAGAAGTTACAAATGATTGATACATGTTCTAACAAAAATTCGGATATATCTCGAATTCGAGCAATAAAAAATCGTTGCTGCGAATTCGACTATTCTATTTATTTATCTTATTTAACAAGTTGATTAAATCAGAGAAATAAAGAGAATCCCTCTTTTAGCATTTGAACGAAGAAACAAAAGGAAGTTGGAGAAAGAACGGAAGGTCGGATTAAATCGGTATAACTCTATTATTTTATACGCGTTCGATATTACATGCACGTATCGAGACACTGTCTTAACATTTATTTTCCAAGAGACAAAAAACTAAATATTTCCTTACGGAAGGTCATTTGATATAAAAGAAAAATAGAGAGAGAGAGAGAGAGAGAGAGAGAGAGAGAGAAGGAAACTCGTAAGGTTACTTCCTCATAAGGTTCATCTATACGTTCACTATTCGAATAAAATACGCGCATCCACGCGCGCGGACGAAAGGGTCCGAGGTAAATCGAAGATTCGAAGCGAACGGAATACACGAACCGGTCGAAGGCACGAAAGTGGGTCAGGGCTGTATTATACTCGATAGCAAGCCGAGCTTGCACGTACGCCAACTTCCAAAATGCTTTTTTCAATTCTGTTACAACTAATAAATTTGTATTCTTCTAGTTTATTTTTTTCTTTCCTTTCTTTTCTTTTATTTTCTTGTTAAGGCTTAACATTTTTCAATATCACCCTTATGAAAAGTGTAAGCATAAGCGGATTAAGTTTTAAATTATTCACGCTATTGTATAGTATGCATATTTATATATACTTACGCATTGTGTGTGCGCGCGTGTCTAATATATTTATGCAGCGTAAGTTATATTTGAAGAAACCCCCGGAGAAGAACAAAACGAGCATCGAGCCAACAAAGAGACCGAAAACGTTTCATAAGTATAACACGGAAGAGATAATGCTTGCCTCTCACTGAGAGAGTGAACACGTCTATTATTACTATACGAATAAAAAAAAGCACGCATTATAGATATTTATTTTCGTCGAATAAACCTCTCCTGTCCGATTCGAACATGTTTACGTTTATACTTATCCTTTTCGCGCGCTTCTTTTCTATTGGCTAAATTTAAATATGATTGCGCGTCAACGCTAGTAGTAGAAACATTTGTTTGATTATTGTATTACGAGATCGGAAGAAACGATGTGTTTTTAAATTGTGTAAAGTCGTGAAAATTGTCAATTGCCAACGAAATCTTTTGAATTCTGAGAACGCGAGAGTTTCATTTAATA